CTGGGCCTACCAGGGGAGGGCTTCCCCCGGTAGGCCCAGTCTACTCCTCGGGAAAGCCTGGGCAGTAGACCAGGCCTACCAGGGGAGGGCTTCCTCTCTTGGTACCAGGCTTTCCCGGGCAGCAGACTGGGCCTACCGGGGGAAGCCCTCCCCTGGTAGGCCCGGTCCACCCTGGGAAAGCCTGCATCGGCAAGGGTGGGGGAGCTCCAAGAGGCCTCTGGCAACGGCACCAAAGCCCTCGGAGTCCTCCGGCAGCGGCGGGGCATCCCTGGAAGGCTTCGAAAAGGTAAGCTTTAATTTTTAAAAATTTATTTAAATTTTTTGTGGAGGGGTGTTTCTTGGGTGGGTTACGGATTACAGGGTTTTCAATGCATTCCTATGGGAATGCATTTTCGACTTACGGATTTTTCGACCTACGGATACAGTTCCAATACAGATGAATTCCGTAGGTTGAGGGTCCACTGTATACAGAAAGCAAATAATCAGAGATGTCTCTTCAGGTTCAGCTTGGTCTTGGTGGGAACTAGGGTACAACCTTTTTTTTTAATGGTTCACACTCCTCAGTATAAACAAGGTAAAATTCTAAGGTGCCTATTGGTTTGCTTCTTACTCGTTATTCAAACTGCTGTTATGTTTGTTTATTATTGTCCAAATATCTCTACATTATGGAACAGTATACAAATGTTAAACAAGCATTTTTAAGGCTATCTAACACAAAGACATTGTTGAAAAACAATTGCATCTGATGAAAAATTGTATGCAGCTACAATCCTGGTCTCCTTAAATGGGATGCTTGCAAATTATAGATACATGCCTGTCCATAAAAACCAGATAATGGCAACATCAGAATTAGTCTGTCTCCATACAGGCACTAAAGTTAAACTACTTCCTATGTCATTGTAAGATTTCCTCCCTGATATGCATTGCCCCCAATTCAGATCCCCTTTAACTTATAAACATACTTTTGATGTGTGTCATCAGCAACAAATGCCTTACAACAGTTTCACTAAGACCTTAATCTTTCAAGTGTCTTTGCACTGACTTCCACCTCTAACACTGGATGACAAGTAGTCAGAGTCCATCAGTATATCCTGCATTCTTCCGTGCAATGTGCAAGATTATAATAAATCCATTAGCAGATCTGCACTTTTAACCTCATTAGGCTGTTAGCTGATGATGCATTTTAATTATTCCAGCCATCTTCCACCAAATGTCCTACTGTACCCACTGCAAGCTGGAAAACAAGCATGAGAGCCATGTGTAATAGATTTACTACAATCATGCCTACAGCATCTGTTGGACTTCATCTGAGAGCCAAAAGGTCATTAACACAATTTGTGAACAGAGTGGATACGGGATGGATGTGTCACTGATGGGGAAAAAGCTTTAGGTAATGTAAAATAAATCTAGCAGCCACGAAGCTCCTTCAAAATACCGAGTGGAAAATATATGTTATATACGAAGCATAATCTTGTTTGCTGGGCTGCTTTACCAAACAGTTGCTAATTCTTTCTATCGCCCAAATTCAGGGCTCTCCACTATAATTTCCAAGTTATAAAACTAGATCACCAACATTTCCTGGGGCCAGAGCAGGCAATATGCAAAGCCAAGCTTACCTAGCTGCACAAACACACTTCTGATTGCTGAGAATGGTTGTAAATGCAAGCTAGAGCCTTACCAAGAGTTTAGAGATTATACAGACAAAAATGTACAGTAAGATACAGTACAAGGAAAGATTGGGTTATGTTACATAAAGTTACCCTTTATTATCTCAAATACAAAACAGTGCACTCCATACAGGAACCTTATTTTTTATTTTTGTGTTTAGAACAAACTGCCAGACTTGGATGTTCTCTTATGCCACAAAATATAGTAATTTGTCCTTAGCCATCTACTGACTGTTCTTGCTCCAGTATTTTATCCTGCCTTCTGTTCCACATAAAAAAACACTAAAACAAATATTCTTCCCAAGCTGTATGCCCCATTATAGGATTATTATTATTTTATTGGATAGCCAGCATCATCTGTACAGTCCCTGTATCTGCTGAAGGGAAGCTAATTAAACCACAGATGCAAGTTTTTCAAAAGTCATGCAGAGAGCCAATCAGAAGACCCACTGAAGACCCACTACTGAGACATCCAACAGATGGGACTATCCATCTTCACCCAGATGAGTTATCAGTGTCTATGACCAGAGGGAGAGAAGTGTCCCAGATACTTTATTCCCAATCCCTCAAGCCATTCATTACTCACATTTCTATCCATCTTATTTCTAGGCTCATATTTCTGACTAACTCAATCCAATTACACTAGAATACGCCAAAAGACTTAATTCATATGGAAGATGATGATCATGTCTTAACCTACAACTTCTCCTGTACAGAGTTTAGGCTTCCAGGTTCTCAAAACACCACCTTCCCCTGCAAAAGGGGAGGCGGGCTTTATTCTCTGAAAAAATAAAAGCTTTCTTTTCATCTCTACTGAAAGGTTTTCCAATTCTGCTAATTGCTTGGGGATACAGCATAAACTAATAAAACCTAGACATCCTACAATTGTAACTGCAAAAAAGGAATAAGATTTTGCAGTATGGAGTTGTATAAGAAGAGTTTTGAATTGTAACTTTTAAACTACAATTCCCACTATATCTATGTTCACATTGGCTGAGAGATTCTGGGAACTGTGGTCCAAAATAGTAATTTTTCTAAGTTTTTTGGAAGCTAATAAATGGAAATCAGTACTGTGTGGTAAGCATCCCAATATGGTCACATTAAGGTTACAGTCCCCTCCTATATTGCTCCTAACATAGTGGAAATTATTCCTGACAAAACATACCAAAGATCCTCCTAAAAGAATATATACTTTATAGATTCTACATATTCCTCAGTCTCCTAAAAAAGCCTGTTGGCGTGT